CATCGCAGCTAGTGTTGGCCATCCATGAGCGCTGAGGTTTTTCCAATTTCAAGCAGAGAAAGCCACCGTTCTGTCGGCCGTGGGCTTCACAACTTTATGGAAGGAAGGCGGGCGCTTCCAGATTCCGCATGTACTCCGCATGTACTCCGCATGTGCTCCGCATGTGCTCCGCATGCGCTCCGCATGCGCGGCTCTGAATTTACCTTCAGCACGGTGCTGTGCCCATCTCCTTGAAGGCATTCCGATCTCGAAGGAGCTCAGACTGAAAGTCGATCCTCCACTCCGTGCCCTGTCCAAAAACCGAGTCACCGTTACTCTCTGATGCGCAAACCGAAGTCGGCGTGCCATGAGCCTTGAGCCTTGTGCATCCTGCGAGCTGATGAACTTGACTTGTTTACTTGTTCGACTTGCCTTAATGTCTTGATCTCGTACGTTTTTGTATCTTGCCGAATCTTGCCGAATCTTGCCCGCTTGCTCAGCTGAAGAGCCGACGAAGACAACAACCGCTGAGACGACCACCACGGAGACGCAGGTGTTGGATGCCTTGGATACCGATTCTTTAATACATTTTAAGATACTCGAAGGTGCTAAGGTTATGCTGGCATTCTCTGACTCTCCCTTGTGCTGTGCAGACCACGACGCTGCCTCTGCGAGCTCGGATTCCGTGGCTTGGCATGAGGGTGAACATGCACAGTTGCTCCATCAACCTGACTTTTGAGGGCGCTGTAGACTGTAGAGCTGTCAGCAACAAAAGGTAAAGACCAGAAAAGAACAGGTCAATGACCAGAGAGGACCAAAGAATCCGAGAGTCCGTTCACCGAGGCACAGCGAGAAGGGAGTCATTTTGTGCATGCGCAGCCGCGAGCCGGGCTACTGCCAGGAAGTGCGGATAGACTGACCTTGATAGCTCACAAATGCTGAACCAACCCAGAAGAGCCTGCACAGGATCGCGTCCAGAATGCATCAGTCGTGTGCGGCTGGCAAAATGTGTGCCAGGCCAGGCGCGGGCAGCCTCCTGTACCGTAGGCATGTTGTGAAAATCTAACGACAACTGTTGTGGAATGTTAAGGAAGAGCCTAGCCAATTTTCATGTGATAGTTGCAGGGGTTGGTGATCTTGTGTGAGGACCTACCATCCCAATATCCGCTTGTGGTTGGATTGTGGTTGGAGCAAGTTAGCCTCGGAAAGGCTTCTCCAAAGGCTCTTTCGGATGGGGGGGCTGGGATCCAGAAAGGTACTGGTACTGAAGCCCTGCTTCGACATGCTTGCACCCTTCCCTGGCACTCTACGTTTGCTGCGCTTTTCCCTCCAACCCTCTGTGCCCCCTTGCAGGGGTGCTGCTCGATTATCGTCCCTTCTCCCAGCACCCGCAGCTTCCTCCTTTAACCTCACGCAGTGCCTCGTTGTCCCTCCATGTTTGGCTAGTTTTTTTTGCACCCAGTCACCCACAGCCTCCCACTCCGCCCCGTCCCTCCTATTCTCCACGCTGGTTGCTCCGCTGTCTTTTTGCCGGCTGTGCCCATGTGCGTGCGCACTCTACATCTTTCTTCAAGGGCCTTTCTTTGCGCTGTCGCCGTTTCTGTCCGTTCCTTTTGATTCTTACTCCTCGGCCTGCGCGTGCCTTTGAGGGCTGCCTTTCCTTTGTGCTTAGCCGTACCTGCCTTCCCGCCCTACTTTACCTTTAGGGCTTCAGCGGCCTCTCTGAAGTGTTGCTCGCATCTCTCCTCTGAGCATCGTCATCCATGCCTTGTGCTTGCTCCTCGCCCTCCTCCCCCCTTCCCCCGGCGCCTCGGTCGTTGTCTGTGACAATTGGGCCGCAGCTGCAAAAATGAAGCAAGAGGATATGAGAACAAGCAGGTCACCAGGCGTTTTTTGGAGTCAGGACCATGTCATGCAATGCCCGGCCTGTGTCATTTGGGATGTCGGCTCTCTAGCTCTGTTGTTGGGATCCGCTGTCAACTCAGCACTGCGCAATGACAAGTATCGATCTTCCGAAGTCAGAAGGCAATGTCATCCAACAACCCTTTGCGAAATGCAGGTGCAAGAGTAGCTGGCTTCAGCAGCTGCGCAGCTTGTGGCTTTCGCTGGCCGGTTTCACGAAATATTTGCTCTCTCTGGCTCGATGTGACCAGAGCTTTGTCCCGTTGTGGATTGCGGAGATTCCGGAAAATTCGTAATCATATACATAAATACATGAATAGATAAATGAGTTAATAAATACATGAGTGAAAATTTATATAAAGATAAATAGAAATAAATAAGTCAATATATATATATATATATATTTATGTATTTATTTGTATATGTATGTATATATATATATATGGTCTCTTCCCCACCCCCCCCCCCCCCCCATGGATGGAACCCGGTATCCGCCGCCCCCCCCCCCCCCCCCCCCCCCCAAACCCCAAACCTCTCCCTAAATCTTACACCAACCTTAAACCTCACACCCTTAGCCTAAACCATAAACCTTCAACCCCAAACGCCAACCCCTCATTCACAGCACAGGCCTGGGGGGCCTAAACCTTAAACCCTAAACTTATTTATGTAAAGCTTAAACCTGAAACCTTAAACCTTGAACCTTGAACCTTGAACCTTGAACCTTGAACCTTGAACCTTGAACCTTGAACCTTGAACCTTGAACCTTGAACCTTGAACCTTGAACCTTGAACCTTGAACCTTGAACCTTGAACCTTAAACCCTAACCCACCACAGGGGAGGCGCGCAGGGGGAGGACGGGCGGCCGGTCTCTTAAACCTTCAACCCCAAATCCGAACCCCAACCCCCCAATCACACCACGGGCTTAAACCGTAGACTCTAAACCCCGAACCCTAAACCCTAAACCTGAAAAACTAAACCCAACCACACCCACGCGCAGAGCTTGACCCTAAACCGTTAACCTTAAACCACCCAACACCACAGGGGGGGAGCGTGGGGGTAGGGATCCAAGGGATGGGGGGATACCATCGGGGGGGCGAGACCAGTCGGTAGATCCCCCCAAACTATCCCCGCTCCAAGGTATCCCCTCTGCCCTAACCCCCAAACCACACCCACATCACAGGGGGCGGGGGGGGGGGCGGAGGTGGAGGACGGGCGGCCGGTCTCGCACCCCCAATCACACCACGGGCCTTAATCTAACCCCCCGAACCCTAAACCGTAAACACCCCCCAACCACACCCACACCACCACGGGGGAGGGGCGGGGCAGGAAACCTGACATTGGGGGGTGGGGGGAATACCATGGGTGGGTGGTGGGGGGTGGCGGCAGTGACGCTGCAATATATATATATATATGTATATACACACACATGTATGAGTTTTTTTGCTTATATACTTATGTACTTATATACTTACATACTTATATACTTATATACTTATATACTTATATACTTATATACTTATATACTTATATACTTATATACTTATATACTTATATACTTATATACTTATATACTTATATACTTATATACTTATATACTTATTTACGCATAATATATGTGTGTGTGTGCACGTGTATACATAGATGCGGATCTATCAAATACGTAAATATACGTATGCCTATATATATATACACATGTATATATACTTGTATATAGTACACATGTAGAGGCAGATCGGCACAGTCAACTCGTCAGCATGCATTCAGCCAGTGTATATTTCACCAGTATCTTCTGGATGTGAGACAAGGCCGATCATTCATCTTGTTGGAGTTCATGGTGCTGAGCAGGTTGTTGGTTCAAGCTTGTAGACGACATGCGTGCAACAAGAGACTTTGCACGAGAGAGAGCACAGATGGCAAGAAGCAGAAAATATCCGCACAACCCTGTGCAAGCAAATACAAGAAGCCTCATCATGTCGGCACGGTCCGAGCACTTGTCAGGATGGAAGTCTGCGCATGAATCTAGCAGCCTCGTACCCCTCTACAGTCTCTAGACAGACGATTGAGCTGAGCCGAGAGACTGCAAGCTCCACAAGCTATGCCTCCACTACCGATCACAAGCGGTTATGCTGCGCCAACCACGCAGGGTACCCCAGAGCAACTGTCACCCGTTCCAGGCTAGCGAACAGCCAGCTGTTAGGAAGCAACATGTTCTCATTCGCGGGTTGTTTTTGGGTTTCGTGCAGCGAAGAGAAACGCAATTCAACAAGCGGCGCAGCGTATCAGGGAAAAAGAAGGTGGAAAGGGGACTGGCGACTAGCTGCCCGAAGCTGTCTGAGTCCTGGATGGCGTGTGTCCTCGACCGCTGGACCAGGAAGCGTGCATAAACATGCAGGTTGTCCGGGCCTTTTGCGGCAGTGGGAGGGCCGAGAGGCTTGGTTATAGAAAGACCCTGTCAATCTCTTTGGGAGCAAATCTAGCTACGTTTTGGAGTGGCAACCCAGCCGAAAAGCTGTTAAGTTTTGTTTTGTTTTGTTGCTCTTGCTTGGCTTCTGAATCCTTTGCTTGCTTTGCTTCCTGCTTGATGCTTTCAGTGCTTTGCTTTCTGCCGTTGCCTTCTTCGCTTTGCTTTCTGGTTTTCGTTGCTGCGTAACCCCCCAGCCAACCAAACATTGAATCGACGCAAGCGACATTGCAAGAATTCAGCAACAGGCCTGGGACGACCATTATCTTGTGCGTGTGTTGAGCGTATCTTCATCCAATCCAGTGAATGCTGTAAATTACTTAATTTACTGCAGTATTTGTCGGGCCTCCCACCGGGTGTCAGTACTACAATTGCGTCCTGAGGCGCAGTTGCACATGCTGTGTTTACGATGCATTGAGCCTCCGCATGGCAGGGAAGAACAGACTTAAATTTCGTTTTGCATCCTCCGGAAAGCCTCTTGGCTGCCAAGCCTTGGCTAGAAGAACTGAAACCCACAATGCTCAAGCAGGATGGCATGTTGAGGAGTTGGAAGAGGAATCCAACTTGGGCTCTTAAGGCTCTTAGTGTGGCACAGTTCTGCGAAGCTTTTTGCAAACGGAAGAGTCTGGAGACTTCGCAAAGGACGCGAAGTCCTGAGATGGCCGAGAGCGGGGAGGGCTGGAGCGCTACAGAGGCTTTTGCTTCTGGGCCCAAGACTCAGAGGGAGACTTTTGGGAAACTCTGGGGGCTTGGGAACCGATTGCCTGAAAACTAGAGCCAACATTGAGCCAAGGAGTCATGCCTGGAGCCTTGATGACATCGTTTTCCTTCCCGGTGCTGTTCTCAGTCACACCGCCGCAATCTGTCAACAACGCCTTGAGATGCGTTTGCAGCAACAGCCTTCGGCAGCCTTCGGCCATGCACGAAGATGTGCACAAACACGAAGGCTCGGGAACCGAGAAGGTGCCCAATCTGTCCTGTCGCATCACAAAGCGCGGGCCTTGGCACCTTGGCGCCTTGGCCTCTTGCATTACACCCTGGAGCAGATGGTGCCAGGAACATGAAGCTGGGCAGGCCAGTGCTGAGCGGCCCGAGCCAAATTTCAGAGGAAGGCTCTGACGGCATTCTGGAAACTGTGGTCAAGCATGAGTTGTGCGTTTAAGGCCCCTCACGTGCAATTCATGTGATGCGGCTCTCGAGTGCAGGCATGGCAATGGCTCTGGCCCTGGAAGGTGGCCTCGGAATTATCCACAGGCCGAGAGCAAAAAACATCAAAAAACTGAGTCAACATGTGCTGCCATTGCTGTTGAAAATAGATTGAAGATCCTCTTTGTTTTTGCGAAGGCCCAGCTTTGCCGATCAGTAAAAGGGGTTGTGGGGGGAGGGGAAGCCCGAATCCCGAGATGGATCGGGCCTGGAGCCGCCTCGTCCTGGGCTCGCTGTTGGGGATGGGGTTCATCGCCGGAGTGATCAGTCAAGAAAACAGTGGACCTGATTGAGGTGTGCATAATGAACCCTCGGTTAGTGAGAGCATGACCATCATCAAGTAAAGAGAGATGTCAAGGAACGTTTTTCATCCCAATCGAGTTGGGCGTAATCTGGGCGTGTTGGCAGGCACATGCCAGTGGCTACACAAGCCACCAAGGTTCGCCGGCCGACGCCCGAGCAAAAGGACGCGTACATATACATAGTGCACGAACGGGTGCGTTTGGGTGCAGTGCAGTGACGTTAGACTCATCAGACAGCTCTTGCTTCTGGAGCGACGTCACAGCCAAGGGTGAAGCAATATCACTCGGGTTTCATCTTGAACCCGACGTGTGTCGCACCGAAGACCACCCTCCAGAAGGCAAGAAGCATTCAGGCGCCATGGGAAGTTCCTGTTCATTGGATCGATGGGGTCGATATGAAGGCTGTTTGCGAAAGCGGAATGCAGCGGCACTTGACACGGGCAAATCGTTGACTGCAAGTGAAGGCTGTGAATCTGGGTTCCAGAGCAACTACCATTCTGATTGATGGAGATGGAAGCGAACACACTTGTCGACTCGACTTGGTCACGGTGTGCTAGTTGTGTGGTCATCTGAATCTGCTCGTACAACTCCACATTGAAACAGCCTTCAAACACACCTCGCTGCAACAAATATTTGGGTGACAGCTCATAAAGCCAAGTTCGTTCATGGCAGGCGTCTGCTTCAAATAAAAGTTCCTTTTCAACTCGTCCCAACATTCAGGCACAAGGCCGTGAGGGCAAGCTAGCTGCCGGTGCGGCATCAAGGACAACACAAAGCCACGGTCCACGGTGCATCGTAGACTCGTGCATCACACGGTGGTTTGAAAGCAACTGATCGTTATATCCTGTTTAAAGCTGAAGGGCTAGCATGTCGACCACACAAGGACTCACATGTCTCTTGCATTGTTTCAGGCCGAGCTTGGTTGCAGCAGCCTGCCCGTCACAGAGAATGGCATCACTCTCAGCGGCACTGTGGGGAACTTTCGACTTCGAAGCGAGTTTTCCTAAAGGCAGAATGGGCGGGCGTTTGGTGGGCCTGGTCACCAAGAGAGACCTGGAAGGGCAGCAAGGGACCGCTGTTTCAACGTGTGAACTCTTGCGTGAACTCTTGCGTGAAGTCTTGCGTGAAGTCTTGTGAACCCAGAAGTCCCACTGTAGCTATCGCAGCCATCGCAATGGGATCTTTTGCGCGTGTGAGTCCCTCAGCCCCTTCTGCTGCACGCGACGACGACTCAAACCCCTTCATTGGCACATAGAATTAATCCAAGAAGCTGAGTGCATGCTGCAATCGACACAGCCGCTTGCGGACTTGGCCCTCTTTTTTGTGTTGGCACTTTAGCCTGCCCTGGCTGCAACTTTGTCCACCAGTTTTCTGGCTTTGTGTTTGTGATTGTTCTGCTTCCACTCTTAGCGGCAGTGGGTTGTGCGTGCTTTAGCCGCTGCCAGCAGCCCCGAAGGCTGAGCATGGGAATGCATCGAATGCCGTGCGCGTCTGGCTTGGGGCCTGCAGAAATTCACATTCTCCGGAGTTTGCTTCGCCTGTACTCCTCCCGACACCGTGACACCGTGCGCGAAGAAGTGAAACCTTTTCCGTCTGATCTTCGTAGACGCGGAGCACCACCAGTGAGGGCAAGAGCCGAAGTGGGGCCCGTGTTTTTGTGCTCTGGTCGTTTGGCACCTCCACCGGCCGGAAAGGGAAGCAAACCGGCATGGTCACCCCACTCAAAGTTCATAGAAGTTCCTCTTTTACGCGGAGGCCGTTTGACAGGACTGAGTCTCACTCGCGAGTTTATTCTCTGTTCCTTCCAGGGGTTTTACTTAAACGTCTCGAAACCAAGCCTTAAAAGCCGAAGCAAGCTCCAAAGTCTTGGCATGCTTGGCATGTGCTCCAGGTTGTGAGTTGCATTCCTGAGTTGTCCCACAGGCAAAGCAGTTCTGAGTCCTTCCCCATGCGAGATCTCACACACCGAAATTCGCCATGCCGCGATGCCTACCCCGAATGATTCGCGATCATGCGAGCTCAATATTTGTTGCTGACGATGGACACCGCAGCCAAGTCTCACAAGCAAAGCTGAGAGCTAAATGTGCTGCTCCGCAATCGAGTTGGCTTTGACATTTCCCTTAGGATGAAACGACACATACTGCAACTTCCCCTTAACATCCGGTTAATGTTCTAACAGGTTTGGTGCGGGCCCCGTTTAGAAGTAGGGGCTGCCGGAGGGGACCGTGCTCAATTTTCGGGGTGGCTCCCAACTTGACGGGCTGAGAAGGTGGTGGGGCGGGGGCAATCGCATGACTGTACACTGCATTCCAAAGGTCGTAGCCCCAACCGGGCCACTGAATGTTGCAAAGGGTGAAAGAACGTAGATAACGGAGACACTTATTTGTCCTCTGCAGGAACCTGCTTGTCGCGTCTGTCATGAATCGCGATGTGGCAGCAGACTTAGTCTCTGTCCGCGGCCTGTTTAATCCCTTTTGTCATTCAGGTAAGTCAGTCTGGCTGTCGCGCAGTACTGTAGTGACTGCGCTGGGACCTCTCAGGTCTTTGTGCAAGAGCCCGTCACGCTGAAGAACGCTTGTGTACACATGCAGCAAGCGAAGGCTCCAAACTCGCTTGTAACATCTGTGAATCCGAGGCTACATGAGGCTGCATGAGGCTGCATGAGGCCGACCAAAGGCCAAAGTTCAGCACGTGCTGTTGTGAATGCTGAGAGGTGTCAAAGCTGCCCGTGCTGAACAAGGACATGGAGCTGGTGGCCCTTCTTTGCTTGGGAACCCAAGTCTTGAGCTGCGCAGTAGAGCAAGTAAAGCAGCAATGAAGCACACGGCGACATGTTCCCAGGCCGGGGTGATATGAAAATCGCCGAGCAACATCCCATGGCATCCAGGGATGCGAACAGGCAACGACTTGAAAGAGGAACGGAATGAGGAACGTCAGATCTAATGAAATCGCTGGAAGCAGTCAAAACTTTGAAGGGGCACCAAAAAGACAAGCAGCCTGCAAGGCAACTCATGGTTGCGGCTGCAGTGTCTGCGCATGAATCGGACGGCTGGGAGCGCGTGAAGGCCAGAGGTTTGCCATGCTTTGCCCCGGTTTGCCCCTTTCAGATTCTTCAGAGTTGTGTTGAAAGGCCATGGTGGAGGCTGGCGCTGATGTGCTGAGCCTGGACGTGGACGAGGGTGTCGACCAATATGTTGTGCCAGCCCAAGCATGGCCCAAGCATTGCAAAAAAAAAAAACCTTTCGGAAGTCACCAAAGAGATTATATTTATATATATATATATACGTAGATATTGTGTTACTGCACGCCTGTAAGGTCGCTTTTCTCAAGCAAATGAAGGCCAGGAGGGTGTGCAGGGTGTGTTGGTGAATTTGGTGAAGCTCACCCTTCCCCTAGCATCCCGGCTGCCGCCATGCCACCACGTCGCCAACGTTGCAGATGTTGCTGAGCGTATCGAGACATTGGAGAGACCGCACGAAGGCCTTATGTAATGCGTGTAGTGCATGTAGGTATGCATACACTGTGCATACATATCTGTCTGCATAGTCCGCGAAAATAGAAGCATCCCAACGAAGCTCTGAAGAACCACAAGTCTAGGTCCACTGAGGATAACTGCGGTTTGATCAGTCTTGGTGACGCGGGTGGCCGGGGGGGGAAGAGGTGTGTGCATGGGGGTCCAGAAAATCCTTCCTTGACTTGCAAGAATTTGTGCTTGGGTTTTGCTGTGTTTATGTGCGGCGCTGGTAGTTCGAGGACATGTTTGCCGGAATCGATGTCATCGTTGGCCCAGTGAACTGCCTCCGCCAGGCTGCGAAGTGCCTGAGAGATGGAAAGAGTGAGCAAGCGAGAGAGACACGAGAGAAGGAGAGAAGGAGAGAAGCATAGAGAGAGAGAGAGTGAGAGATCCTTTGGAGTTGGACGTGCGTTGTGTTGACTACTTTGTGGAAGCATGCCCGACCTTTTCCTCAGTCCTTGGATCGATTGTGGCTGCCATGCCAATCTCGGCAGCAAAAAAGGAACAAGTATAGTAGCGCCTTGAGGCCACACGCGAATCCGCCCCTTGCCTTGACCGGAGAGAGAGAGAGAGAGAGAGAGAGAGAGAGAGAGAGAGATAGATTGTAGATGTATGGTACTTTACCTGTTCTCTGCTGCTCTGCAGCCGGTGGCTTCGGAGCTGCGCGCCTGCCCCCTGGACATTGCTGTTCATTTTCTGGACGATGGTATCTTGGCTGGGGATATTCCTGCGGTGGGGGCTGCCTTGCTACAAGTTCAGCGCCGCGCTGCGGAGATCGGGCTTGCGCTGAACCTTGCCAAATGCGAGGTTGGTCTGCGGGCCAGTGCCGGCTGCTGCTTTGAGCGCCAACTTCCCGTCTGCTATGTTGCAAAAACACGACGGCGCCAGCAAGGTCCTCGACAATTTCGAGTTCCTTGGAGCGGCCATTGGGAGCGATTCCTTCGTGAATGACCACACTGGACAGCGTGCCGCCAAAGCTGCTGAGCTTTTAAACGCCTTGGCTGACTTGGACGACCCCCAAGTGGCTTTGCGCCTCCTTCGCGCCTGTGCTGGATACACTCGGATGGTGCACAGTATGCGCTGCAATCCTCCGCATGCCCAACGCGGCGCCCTGGATGGCTTCGACGACATGGTAAGGCGCTCCTTTGCCAGTTTCACAGGCATCCACCCAACGGCTGCACAGTGGCGACAGGCGGGGTTAGGCTATGCGCGAGCGGGGCTGGGACTCCGCCGCACTGTCGGGCACGCTCCCGCCGCCTACTTGGCCTCTTTAGGGAAGAGCTTGTCTGCTTGTGTTGAGCTGGACCCATCCTTCTCCGCCAACGACCTGCTCAACGACCCCGATGTGGTCCAGGCGCTCAACGCCCTCAATGCCCAGCTCCCGGGTCATCGAGCCCTTACCTTGGAAGCTGTCACGGGCAGCAGCCAGCGAGACCTATCACAGCACATTGACTCGGCGGAGTGGGATGCCATTCTGTTAGCTGCTGACACGGCTACCCGGGCGGCTCTTTTCTCGGAGGCCGGAGCTGGGGCCCGCGCCTTCCTCGCTGCGCTACCGGCCGGGAAAACGCGCATGGAGCCAGCCATCTTCACTACTGAGTTGGGGGTCCGGTTGGGCGTCCCTGAAGCCACTGAAGATGTCTGGTGTCCACGTTGCGATGGTATCCTGGACTCCTGCGGACACCATGCCGCTATGTGTGTAGCCGGCGGGGAACGCACGCAGAGGCACAATGCCGTCCGTGACCTGGTCTGCAATTGGGCGGAGCGGGCAGGGTTGCGACCCGAAAAAGAAAAGTCTGGGCTGTTGCTCCCGCAGTGCCCGGACGACACTCGCTCTGCTGGCAGACGCCCTGCTGATGTTTTCTTACCGGCCTTGGCCGGGTCTCCTGCTGCACTTGACTTCGCCGTCACGGCGCCTCAGCGACAGGAGACCCTGGCCAAGGCCAGTAGGGAAACAGCTGCAGCGGCTGCTGACTACGCCAGGCACAAAGAGAACCACCTCAACACTGCGCAGTGCTGCGAGGCCCAAGGCATAGTCTTTGTGCCCATGGTGGTAGAAAGCACCGGCACGTGGGACAAGGGCGCCGAGGTCGTACTTAAGCACTTGGCTCGGGCTGTAGCGGCTCGGACAGGTGTGGAATCGGCCACGACTCACGCGGCCTTGTTTCAGGAACTGTCTGTCACGGTGCGGTCCTGGCGCGCCCGGGCGGCCCTGCGCCGCCGCCAGGAGTTGGTGGAGTGAATGGGGATTGGCGCTGGGTGTGGATTTACCGCACAGATCCGTCCGGAGGCCCCCATAACGCGCATTGCAGATGATGAGGCGTACGCCTGCCTGGTGTCTGCTTGGGTCCGTCAGGTTCTTCTTGCGTCGCGTTACGGCCCATTGGCAAGCGTGGTGCTTGAGATCTCGCGGGACGCCAGAGACTCACGCAGGTGTCGGGGGCTTCGCCCTACGGCCGTCCATGCTCTCTGCTGTGTTGTCGGGATGGACGCATCCTGCATCACCGGGTGTCGGACGCAGCTGGGCCTGTAGCTCTAGCGCTGCCGGGGCTTAGGTCTTAGCAGTGCCAGGAAGAGAAGGATTACAGTTTTCTCCGTGGTGCCCGTGTGCATGCCATACATGGGCTGAGCCCTGTATGAAGCCTCTGCAAGGGACCCTAAACCCCTCTCATCCAGAAGGAGCAAGCAAGGCCCCGAGTACTTTACCTTTACATGCAGTGGCTCATCTTACCCGGAATAAGCGCAAGAGGGGATCACCGACTAACCACACAGGGAACAGAGGGGGGCATTCTATTTCGGAAGTAACCCCAACCTGTGTGCTCGCATTTTTATCACCAAACTGCACCTCCAGACGCCCTTCGGGGCGACCTCCTCCGGGGGGTCAAGTGCAGAGGAAGGAAGGAAGGAAGGAAGGAAGGAAGGAAGGAAGGAAGGAAGGAAGGAAGGAGACGCATTCGAGCGCCGGCAGCCAAATGGTGGTGGCCTGTGCATGACGGATGTTCTGAAAAAGTCGCCACATGCACGCCCTTGGAAGTTGCATCCACCCATGTTGGGTCTGGTTCAGAATTCGGCAAATGAAGCTTGACTGTAGTTCACAGGCAAACTTCATGTCAGTTCGGATCCTGCCACAAAGTGACGGAACATCAGGCTCGTTTTTGCGCAAAGCAGGTTGGAGGCTTCTCTGGCATCCGATATCCTCCACGACATGAACACATTCTCTTGGCCAGCAGCGTGAGCTCCACAATGGGCTAGCATCAACTTGCAGTCGTGGAAGTGGAAGAGCGGCAAGATACAAAAGCTACATGCGAATGCGTGCATGTTGATGAAGCCCTCAGAACAACTAAGCCCTTATGAATCAATTGGGAGAGAGACGGAGAGTGCCTCACCAGAAGCAGGCAACACTCAAGGTAAAAAGCGCCATCCCAGTACAGTTGCAGCCAAGATTTAACGTATCCCTCTGATCATCGCAAGGCAATGTCCACAGACCGACCCAAACTCGGAGCGAAGGGAAGAAGTATACATACGTAGTCCAACGGCGAAGTCCACGAAGAATAAACAACCCCGATTGGGCATCCAAACAGTATGAATGGCCAGGCGACGCTGCTTTGCGAACATGGTGCTGATGCCGTGCGAGTGTTCATCCTACACATTTGCTGTGCAGTGGTTCTGCTGTTTCACTTGTATTTCCTGCCTGCTTGTAAGAGCAAAAAGAGTCTAGCATGATGTCGTCAGGTTGGAAATGCCAAAGGCGCAGAAGCCACGACAATCTTCGAGATCTCCAGGCGAGTTGTTTCCACATTTGGGAGCCTGGTTGGAGCCTGATTCGCAATCGATTGCTTTCAGTCACTGTCCATTCAGGTCCCTTCGCTCCACCTTTGGGGTGCCGGTCATCGCAGATGTAGGGGCGCGCATCAGGACATGATTCATGTCGGTTTGCGACGCTTCTTTCTGTGTCAGGTCCGGGACTCAGGGCAGATTCTGAAGGCAGGGTCTGCGATTCTCCAAGCTTCTCTGAGTCAGAGCCTTTCGGGCCCGGGGCAGGCTCTTCTGCTCGGCGCAAATGCGGTGTGTCTCGATACAATGCTCGAGCGATGCGAGGTTCGCAGCCGCTTGTTCGGGCAATACCGTGAGATTCCCGTGAGATACCATGAAGTCGCCATGTTGCCGACAATCCCAATTGAAAGGATGGGCGGTGGGCTAGGAGGATGTAGGAGGATAGGTTTGGTTGCACCCTAGAATACCTGTGGCTTCGACTTGTGTGTTCAGGAGGCGTGCGGTCTTCACATCTTCCGAGAAGGTTCGGCTGAAGTGGAACGCGGATGCGCTGACACCATTCTGTTGCTGAAGGTGTGCGGGTTAGAATGGAGCCCCACCAAGGACAGGTTCCAGCAAGTCCTACAGAATTTGACATTTTTAGTGACAAACATCTTGAAGTTCCTGAAGTTTTAGTCGTGACTGTCACCGCCTTGCAGGAGATCGTGTTGTTGCAAGCGGCGTGCCAATGACAGTAGTTGCTCCTCGGCACGATGCGAGGTCTTCATCCACACACTGTAGCATGTCCATAGCATCTCCATCTCTGGGTTCTGCACTGGTCTGCACCGCTAGGATCGGGGCTCAGCGCTGACATTCCTGCCTTTCCTGTTCAACCAGCTGCGGCGAAGTCTTCAGGCGCGGCATGTTCAATTTTCACGACTTCAATAGCCAACCAAGCCAAGATTCAACAACTTGCAAACGCTTGGTCAAGCCGCAGCTCGGCCCAAGCCATCCGACGTGCACGTCGCAATCGGCGCACCTCGGAGCTTGCAATCCGCCCAGTCGGGTGGTTTAGCAACAGACGTCGGACCCCGAAAATCCGAAGCCCCGGGACCTGCAGCGTAAGTGGGCTTGGAGGACGTATAGGCTTGTTGGAAGGCCCGGAGGCCGTGTTTTGCCTTTAATGGCCTTAGTTTAGCAGTATGGGCTTGTCGTGATCAGGTGGGCCAAGACCTTCGGTACACTTGTTGTTGTGCTCGTGTGCTTGTGCCAAGTCAAGTAAGGCATGGACAGGGTGGTGGAATCTGCCAAGAAGTTAAGAAGGCAGGAGGTTCTTACGGGGTCCAACGAAGGTTCAAGGGGGGTCCAGGGGCTTGGAAGGGCCCACCCAGGGTGGGGGGGGGGGGGGAGAGTGTGATGCATTGGTGTGGTGTGGGGGGGAAGGGTAGGAAAGGGTGCAAATTCTGGTTTGATTGTTCCAATCGCCTCTCGGCCGAGGGCCGCGGTGAACTTCCGGCACAGGATCTTGACATCGACTCGCTTGGCGAAATCTCGAAGGCTTCCAGCCACGTTTACTGTTGTTGCATCCTCCTCTCGAGCTCAACGGTCTTCAGCCCCTTTCAACTTGTGTTTCACCTTATTTCCTCTGCAATAGTTGCCAAAGGCTCTGGAGCAGGGCAAGTTGCGTCTAGAAGCTCAACAGCCGAGCTTTCCAGATTCGTGGCAGGCTTTCATCTTTCATCTATCATTAGCTTCCACCTGTTCTGCGAGTCTTCCCTTCAATTCAATACATGTGGCAGGCACCGAAGATGTATCCCATCATTGCGGGCGGGCTCCACTCCATCCGCTGAAGTTTCACCGCTTGAACCGCTTGAATTTAAAGCAGCACGCAAGGAAGAGAACACTCTTTACGTACCAAGGCATCAACTCGAGATAGGAATATTGTAGCCGTAGAAGACGGAGTATGGTTTTCTCTAGTATGCCTTCATAAGTCCTCAGACTCTGCGGTGTTTAGGGGGATGCCCCGGTCGTCAGCAACAAAGCATGCTACTCTCTCGATGCGCTATTCCCGCTCGAAAGTCACTCTCTCAAGTCTCGAAGAGACTGTCGAAAAAAGGAGGAATCTTTTCGGTCCACGGAGCCGCTGCGGCGACAGTGAGCTCTCATTGCAGACGCTTTTTGTCATACCATGGCTGTGAACCACTGGCCACTGGCTCTGCGACTGTGTGCAGTTTGCACAGGCTAGTCTACGAAGGAGCTTGGAGGTGGACCCACTTAGAGATGTTACAGAGCTAGGCGCGCAACGCGTAGACGAGTGTTACAAGATGACGAGAACGTGATATCGAGCAACTCATGAACGTTTTTGCCAAACATTTCAGTTCATTCACGACAGTGTTGCAGTTGTGATAGTCTTCTCGCTCTTTTTGTTAATCGTTTTCCGTTCTTTGGTGTGAAACCCACTCAGCCATTTCTCTCCCTGATGCCATGCTACCTGGACAACGCACGGCCGGCCGGTCCAAGACTCCGACAGGGCGGCCGGTACTGCCTCCAAGGGACAGATTCTCATGCGCTCGCTCAGATAACGGCTGTAACTCCTCTTAAGGGCCTCGGAGGTTGCTGACGACAGAGAAAAAAGGGCCAGTATTTTGCTCACAGGATGAGACGGCGTCCCAGCTGACACCACCGCAGACGCCAGATGGGGAGACTACCAACTCTGACAGGCCTCGTATGACGGCGTGCTGTTGATCTACCTTAGTTTCAGTGCTTGTCAAGTGAAGCCTGAAGCTGTAATTCTCGGGCTCATCAGTAAAATCTCCATGTGGCCAGGGATGGGGTAAGCGAATCCCAGCTGAGCCCACAAGCAGCCCTGGCGACCCAGGCCAGCAATGCCCCCGCGGTCGCCATCCTCAACACCGAAGCTGCGGCGGGAAGTCTCCATCAGGCTCCACTCGTCTTCTCTCCTCCTGCCCCCTCTTCTGCCTTGCAAAGGTTCTTGCCTTCTTGCCCCCCTCTTGCGCTCGCTGTGTTCAGGGAGGAGACGGCTTCCTCCAGCTTCGAGCGCATAGAGCGGCGTCCGCGCAGTGCTCCAAAGAAGAAGGCACCGAATGAAGAATCACACACATCAGTCACATCACACTTTCCGAAGCATGGCTGAGCCTATGAGAGACCTGGTCAAAATGGATAGCAAAGCCGGTAAAGAATCGGTAAAGCTTGCCAGGCCGATCGCGACAAGAATCCGTTTATCGAGTACGACGTCCGCGAGAAGAGGCTCAATCAGGCCTTCGTCTGCTCCGAAGAGAATGCTCTGAACTCCGAGATGCGATTTTTTAAAGATCACCGCATGCTTGGATATGCACCACCTTGCAACATGTTGCAGTGCACTTTGCAGGGTGCACCTTTGCAATGCACTGCTAGGAACGCAAGTGGCTACAAGAGGATTCCCATTTTCTCGAGCAGCGGCGAGAAGAACTTCGCCTTGGATCCTTGTTGAACCAGCTCAATATCCAGACACTTTGCCGCAGAAGATGTCTATGTCTCTGAGAAGCAGAGAGAAGATGCAGATGCAGAGACACCTTGCCAAATCGCAGCAGTTAGAGGGTCGAGCGGCACTGCAGAAATCTGTTGCCTGGAGTCAGTGTTGTTCTGCCAACCTGTTGTGTGTAGTTTCAGTTCAAGTTTTACGTCCTTCAGTCTTCTTGAGATGTTCACATATGGAAACCAAACTCTTGAAAACTGCTATCGCCGTGGCGGAGCAGTATCATGTGTGGGTGAACTAGATTCACTTTGGTACTGTGGTGTTCTTTTACAAACAATATAGTCTTCTTGAGATGTTCACATATTACGTTTGCCTCTGTTGCTGTGGCTCATGGCAGCGTCGTTGCTTGGCAACCACAGCCCCACACTCATCTACGGCTGCTTACTGCATTTCTTCGTTGCTCGTCGCGCTATGATGCATAGACTCTGCCCAAATGCTGGCTTGAAGGTTGGTTGTTTCTGGTGCAAGTATCCCGTCAACATGCATCAGTTTTCTCCCCACCTGACGAAAGGAGTTGTCAGATTCGCCAGATGTGAAGAGCAGCAACACCACACACATCTGACGCACGTCCGACACAGTGTGCCCGACATGTCATGGCCGAGCAATTATACAGGAGCAGCCAGGACAGCAGGCGAGCAAGGTAGGACAGCAGCCATGAAAGTGTGAGGTCGGGGTGACTGTCGTGACTATGCCGGAATTCGCCTTCAAGAAGCTAGGGAAGCGCCAGGCAACGACACGTTTTGCAGCCTCCAGGCTTCGGACCCAACCCTGGGAGCTTCAGCGGAACGACTGAAGGAGGTCATCGCGCCTGTACACTTCATGCAGCTTCCGCCTTTGCAGTTTCTGGTTTTACTGCTTCTTTTGCTATTTCTGCACAGACTGCCTGTCGAATCGACGTTTTACGCTTGAATCGGGCACGCGAGTCATATCTGAAGCTACCTAAGGACCTATGCTTGCCCATACTTGCCCATACTTGCCGTTGAAACATGTTGAACAGCAAAACCATCACTGCACCGCTGCTCTCAGCTTCTTTAGGTGTGCTTCCTTTCCTTGTAAAGCTTGCTGCTGTTGCCGCTGCTCTCGCAGCTTTGGCATGCGGCATGGCGCATTTCTTCGCAACAAACGCCCTTTTCTTTCATGGCCTTAGGAACGATCCCGACGACCAGCTTTATGAGACCCTCAGCAGCACATGCCAGATGTGCCAAATTATGCCATGGGAGATGAGATGCAATGACTTTTTCCGAGGAATCGCACATTCTATGGGCCTCACTCCATGGCAATGAAGGCCACCAAGGCGAGACGAAGTCACAGGCAGATCGGAGTTCAAAGAGATTGAACGTGGTGCTTAAGTTTTTTTCTAATCTTCTTCGGGCTGCAAGCAGGGCGCTTCCACGATCGAACTCGGCACCAATACCCGAGCGGCCTCCCAAGGAGGCCCCCCTTACCCTGTTACGCTGCAAAGAAAGCGCTCGCCATCGCTTGGCTGCACACTGTGCTTCAGGCTTCGGGTGCCCGCAGGTTTCCCAAGGACCAGCCACTTCAAATATCATCGAGATATCATCGAGCATCTTCAAGTGTTCAAGCGTTTCTTGGCGACCAACTCTTATCCAGTGCTGCAAGGAGCGCGGAGCGGCTGTCCTGAAGTCACTGGCACAGGTCCCGATTTGGAAGTCAAATAACATGGACAATGGGCAATATGCAAGGCATATGCGCGGTATTGCGCAGTATGCGCATACTGCAGGGTGCATCTCGTTTTTCTCTTTCCTTGGAAAACAGACGGTTTCCTGGAAGGCCCGCCTCCGTCGGCTGTCATTAAAGAACGAGACACGCTTGCGCCAGGTTTTAAAGAACTCTAGCGAGGACGTGCAGCAACGTCGAAGCCCTGAAGAGCGATGAACCATGATGAACCTGCAGAGCACGGCAAAGGGTTCTGGGATGTTTAGGTGGGCTTGGCAGCTTTGGAATCATGTGTGGGCCTAGGCTTCAAAGAAGAGCTGAGGACGTCGGGTTCCTCACCATACGTCAGCATACCTTTGGTTGTAGCACGTTTTCCCGGCAGAAGCTTAGCATTGGGTGTGAAAGGGGTGGCTCGGCAGGAAGAGCGGCTACATACTGCCAGAAGAGCCAGCCGAAGCTCCAAAGGACGGCCGCAGGTTCTCTGGCTGTGTGAGTTTCTTTGGCTTGTCATGCTTCACCGCGCAGACTTTGAACTGGGGAATGACGCTGCTGCGGCTGCAGAGGCTGTTGGCATTTGCGCGCCTCGGTGTAGACATGTCCCGCGTCCGGTCCCCAGACGTGGTCCCAACCCTTGTTCCGCAGAACATTGTTGCGGACTCTGGTGCGAACTTTGGTGCGAACTTTGGTGAGATCTTTGGTGAGAACTCCTAGACATCCTGTGGTCCCTTTTGTTCAGGAGAGAGGCTCCATGTCAAGGAGCTGTTCAAAGAGTTCGATGAACTTTTGATCGAGGCAGCTCCTTTAAGCGCACAAGGCGCACGCATAACACTGCCTTCCCAAGGCCTCAAAGGCCTCTCCTTTTGAAGTTGGAACTCTTGTGCAATGGAGGAAGCCGGATGTACCAACGAAGCCTTTCATTTCTGGAGAATGCCAGAATGCCGTAAGTTGCCGAATACTTGTCTCTTCTTGTCACTTTTTGTCCCTGTTTCCACCATCTCCTTCCAAGATGCGTAAATCCCCGTGACGCGCATACGCGACGGTTTACACAGGAACTTACGCACTATGTAGTTCACGTATGTGGCAGCGCGCCACATTGTCAGAGCTGTACAAACAGCGCTGACTGCAGCCAATACCCGATCAGCTCTGTACACAATGGGCAAAGTGCTGGGGTCACGGACTGCAGGCGCCAATCTGCTTGCGCTTTTGCTTGCGCTTTGTTCCACCATGACGTGCCCGATGCTATGGCTCAGACGAGCAGTTTGGCAGTCTTGGGCTAGGACGAGAAGTAAGTAGGAATCTGTCACAGGTCCTTAGCTACAAGCGTTCCGGCCTTATGCAAGACACGTTTTCTCAAACTGTGAAGACAAAAGAGCATCCCTCGCTCTCCAGGATATCGGATGACATGGCCGAGATCATCTTCCGGGAACCGTCCAGCACAAAGCTTCTTTTCAGGATGTGTGGCGTGTCGCACGTCGTTCTTCATGGCACCGCAAAAGTCGTGCTTCAAGAGCGCCTGACGTGAGGCCCTGGCAAGTGAACAAGTGCGCGCAAGGCATCTACTACTACAACGAGGCGTTGGGGCTTGTGCTGGCTTGTTCAAGGTTCGAAAGCAGCTGTAAAGAATAGACTCGGGGCGAGCAAAGCCTCTCTGCATGCATGACTGCTGGATTCACCCCGATTCTGCTTCTCTGTGAGGAGTTGGAATTGTTAGAACCAGATGCAGCATTCCGTAGGCAACAGCAGAGTCCTCTTGGACGCAGCCTCGCGAGTTGGAGGGATGGCAGCAGAGACAGGCCGGGACCTCCGACTAGTCTAGACATGAACAGTTTTGACAGTGCGTGTAGGCTGCCCGAGCGGGGACGAACGGCTAAGATACGGAACAGTTTGAGAACAAATTCTTGGTATATCCTTTAGCGGCGCCTTGCTCAAAACACATGAGCCGCAAATGTCCTCCCTGTGCATGTGCATGGAATAGCTATGCGAAAATGGGCGAAATCCAACCGAATCCAGTTTGTGACTCGGAAGGCGGGATCTCAACCTCCGCAAGCACAACAGCAACCTGCGCCTCAGGCTGGATCTGGAGATTGAGGCTTAAGACCTTAAGAGGTTTTGGCCTTACATCCCGTGTGCACGACTTTAAGTGCCCTTGGGAGCACTCACTGAGCCACTGCGCACTTCCTTGGAGCCAGAACATCAGCTAGCCACCTCTGCTGGCAACACCTCGGGTCACCTCATCTCAATCTCAATCTCATGGCACTCCATCATTCTGTCGCTCCGACCGCATATGGACCTTCTTGTCCGCCCGACAGTGGGGCTGTGTGTGTGTGTGTGTGACATGATGTGACAATCTGACAGAAAGGCCGCCCTTAGAGAAGCCTACGATCTCATCGCCCTGATCCGACCTGACCTGCTTTCAGCTGAAGTGGTCCTTGTGCAAAATCCCGATCTACCGTGTTCCTTTTCCTTTCCTCTTGCTTTCTACTTCTATGTTTTCTTGTCAATTGTGGGGCAGGTCATCGAAGCTTCATTTCTTTTTGGGGATCCCGGGGGTGTTGGAGTCGCAACTGTTGAGGGCTTCCAGGATTTTAGGGTTTAGGGTTTCCATGATTCTCGGATTTAGGGTTTCGGGCTTCTAGGTTTGGGGCTGTTTAGGGTATAGGGCCTCCAGGGTTATGGGGTTTAGGGTTGAGGGTATGCTCGGCAAGGTCGCGCGCTGGGAAGCGCGCAGTAGCAAGCAGACACGCCCACCCCCGGCGGTCCAAACACTACTCAACACGAAATCAACCGGAGCCTGCCGAACCCAAGCCAACCGAGAGACTGTGCTTCCTTCGGAGCTGGACATAAAGAGATCAGGACCTTGTTGTAGCAACTTTCGGGATAAAACTTAGTTTTTGCGGTGGGGGACGTCTTCGGGTGGGCGTCCGAACGAAAATTCAAGTTTACGCTGGGGGACGCTTCGGCCAGCGTCTTTTCATTGCTTTCAGATGGTGAGAAAGGCCTCATCCAGGGCACCGGGACAAGGCAACAGGCTGGGGCCCAAAATCGAGGCTGAGAATCAGTGGTTTTTTGGAGCCACGACAGAATAAAACAACAAGCGCGAATGCTAGTATTTACAGCATATTCTCGTCGAAAACGTGAATGTGTTTAAACAAATAGCTTTCAAAACGATGTTTTTGCAGTGCAGTTGTGCACATTTTCAAAAGTCGCCTTCAAAAACCCAAGCGAAACTTGCGTTTTATTGAACAACAAGTCGAAACAAGGTGTGTTTTGTCCGTCACACCGGGGGGGAAAGCGGGTGATGGCGGGCGAACTGAGCCTCGAGGCGCAACCTCCGTTGCGTGCGTACCGACAGCAACAGCAAGCCTCAACCGGCTTGCTGTTCGACTCACGTTGGGCGTTGGGCAAAGGTCACGACGAGCAGCAGGCAGGGTTTTTGAAAAGCAGTCCAAACGCTGCCCCAGAAGGATTCAGGCGTCACTGGTCAGTGGCAAGTTTCAGGGAGGATCAGGGAAAGGTCGTTGCGCCCGGCCGGGCACAAGACTGCTGAAGAAGCTGCGTGATTGGACCTTGCTCGGGCACCTCTGCCAATTCTCGCGCGCGCGCGCGCGCGCGCGCGCGCGCGCGTGTGTGTGTGTGTGTGTGTGTGCGCGCGTGGCTCCAACCGTTTCGGTCCCTGCCTTCTGCTGGGAGATTGGTGACTTGCCTGGGCCCCGTTGCACGACCGCCCGCCCCATCGTTGGCGATCGCATTAGGATGCATTCAACTCCTGGCGCCTCGGTTCCATCCACAAGCCATCATGGATGCTCACCCCGCCCGCCTGTGCACCATCCTTGTCAAATCGCCGAGAATGCATCCGAAGCGCCGGCCCCGCCTCCGGTCAAGGTTCTCGCTTCCCTGCCCAGTTGCGCTTGCGCCAGCATCTGGCTGCGTCGGGCGGCTAATCACGGCTAGTCCCGACCTGGCTTTTGGCGACAGCTCGGCCTGCGAGCGCACCTTGGCACCGTTGTTGCCGGCAGATTGCTGCCAGGAGCTGCAGCTTGGGATGGCCACAACATGTACTTCAATTGTCTGTAGTTCTCTTCTCTGAATCATGTCCTGCCTATTGCGCAATTTTGCCTCTTTGAACGCTTCTTTTGAACGCATTCGGGATCGCATGCCGGCACACACTGGAAATATTGATTTCAACTTAAAGATACACCGAGAGCCTTCCCAGCAAGCAGATTAATTCAGAGCAGAATACCAACACAACAGGATTGTCAGCAACCTCTCCAGCTTTCTTGGCATACCACCAAGTACATACGGACAGCAGTGGACAAGTCGTGCACACGGGGCTCCTGCACGCGATGGACACATGGGTTTTGCATTAGAGGTTGGTCATGGTTGACAACAGTGCTGCGTAGGCGTAGACTTTGTTATGAGACGCGGCGCCTGGGGCAGGCACACGCGCAGCCACAGCACCTACCACCCCCTCATCCACATCCACAGCCCTACCAGCATCCCGGACATCCGGGAGCAAGCGCACCGCCGGGTTATGCGCCAGGCCGGAAGCCAAGTAGTATTCAGGTTGTGTGCAGGTGTGTCAGCTTTGTCGCCAGGCGACCCGCAGTCAGCTCCAGGAGCTCCAGCAGCTCCAGGAGCACATGGATCCCACTATCCACCAGGTCCCAAAGTCCCAAATCACGAAACTCAGCGAAGCCACAAGTCTTGTGCCTCACTGTAAACCTGACAGGTGAGCCGGCACCATATCATGCACCCCCGGGTGCACCTCAAAGTGCCAGCCCTTGCTTTGCAACGGCTGATGTTGTCTAAAGTGTGGCCAAGTTTTGCTAAGTTGCCATTTTCAATCTTCTACAGCTGAGGCTACCCCGGCTACGCGCCCCCGGGCTATGCCCCGCCAACGAGCTATCCACCGGCGAGTTATCCCCCGCAGGGATACCCTCCGCCTCCCAACCCGTACGCGCCACCACCAGGCTGGCTGATGCCAAAAGATCAGTTCGCAGCGATTTGAGATACCGTGAGTTTCGCAGCCTTAGTCCTTCTGAGTGTGCGTGTGTCCGACAGGCCACTATCCTCCTCCTGCGGGCTACCACCTGCCACCGGGCTACCCGCCACCCGCTTACGCACCACCAGGCAAGTGCCCATGTGTGACATTGTGTCGCTTCAAGTTGATGGCACATCCTGCACAGGTTACCATCCGTACCCAGCATACCCACCACCTGGCGCTGGAGCTCCGGCACCCGTAGCGCCTCCTCCAGAGCCCGAGAAGGCCGAGAGGGCGAGATCTCGGTCAAGAGATGGAGGCACACCTCGGCAGCACCACGGTAAAGAGGGAATCGGTAACATGTCATCTGCAGGCAGTCTGCAGGCCATAAATATTGGATGTCTGCAAGGCGACAACGGCCGCAGACGTGGCGGCGGCGGCGGCGGCAACGAATGCTACTGTTGCGGCGAGTCGCATCCTCAGCCTTGCAAGCAGCTGACCCTGAATGTTCAGCTCCACCTGGTCGAGGTCGGGACATTTGGCTCGGGACTGTCCGAACAAGGGCAAAGAAGGCTTCCGAGAAATGTGCGGAGATCTCAGCCACCTCAGCCGACTCAGCCGACCCCCAGACCGCTTGTGGAATCGCCGCTTTAAGGCCTCAAACCGCACATTGACGCACAATGAAGTGAGCATGGAGCAATTCGTGCAGTGACTACAACCCTAACAAGCGAAACGGGTGCAGGACGACTCTGAACTCGTTTGGAAGTGGCGTAGGCGTACGATGTACTCGTCGCTGTGGTCGACTGGTCGAAAGCGGTATGGAAGATCTTCGCTACATGTTGTCTTGCTTGCTTTGCCTTGCTGGGGGCTGGGTAAACCGGCCCGTTATTGTTGGGCTTTGTTTTCCTACGAAAACCTTGCTGCCGCTCCTTCGCTTTCGTTGGGGGGGCTGTGCTGCTCAAGCGAAATCTTGCTGGGCTACCGAGCTCTGGGGTGCGAATTATGACGGGCAGACCCGCACATGAGCTGCTGTTGGGAAGTGAAGGATGGGAAGAGTGAGAATAGAATCAAATAGAGGGATGCAAGTCATGCCATGCTTCTGATGTCGCAACATACTCGGGCAACGAGAGTAGCCTTAGCATTTGTCGTTCTCTGCGGCTCAGGTGGTGACTTCCGAAGGGGCGAGTGCAGTCGCGGCTCCTGAGATTCAATTTTGGACCTGTTCTGACCTCAACCTCACGGCGAATTTGCTTTGCAGGTGATAAGTGCCGGTACTCCCACGGTTCCGGAGGTCGTCGCTAACCTGAGGCAGTACTTGGTTCGAGCACTTTGCCAATGCTTGAGTTGACCAAGCACAATCTTTGGAGGAGCGGAGCACGCTGGACGCGCTCATGCCGCTGTAGGCTGGCATGCAAGTGCGTTTGTGGCATTGCTGTCGTCACATCCAGCTGCAGCTGCAGGTTCAGCCAGGTGTGACGTGGGTCAGCTGTGCTCGCTATTTGTCTGTACCCTGTGCATCTTAGCAAGTCGGCCCTCGCTTTAACGTCTAGGGAGTAGCCCCGTGCAGGGACTAGCAGTACCATGCATTACCATACAGCATGCAACACATCGCCACACGTCCATGGAGCAGTTGCTGGCATGGTGTGGTCGACATGCAGCAGATTCAATCTGTGCGAAAACAGACCGTTGCGGTACCCTGGGTGGGTACCCTGGTGTAAGCAAAGGAAGCACAGCAACAAGACCCGGGCTCTCCATGCATATCTGGGTTCTGCACAATCTCAAGGGACTGTATTGATACCTCGCAAGCTTTCGGTTCAGAGCGATCACCCCACCAGAATGACGAATGCAGATACCTAGCCTACGCATAGAAGAAGATGAGCGTCTGTGCCTCTCCATGTAGGGTTGGGCGGGACATTAGCAAATTTGCTGCGGAAGCGATACCTTGAGAACGCCATACCTAACCGCAAAAGCAATACCCTCAATGAAATGTCTCAGTCATGGCATTTAGGTGCTGCCGCGCGCTGAGATGCAATTCACAAAGGCAGCACGCAGCACACATTCAGAATGGTTCGTGGTAAGAGGCTTCATCATGCCCAAGCCAAAGGAGGAGACCCCAAGACTTCGCAGAGCCTATGTGCCACTACGTGATATTAGGTGATGTGCACGAGCCCCCTGAGCGGTTCTGAATGCTCGAAGGACTCGAAGTCTCGGGCCACGGTTGCCTGGGCGACCTCTGCTACCTCAGCTACCTCAGCTACCTCAGCTACCTCAGCTACCTCAGCTACCTCAGCTACCTCAGCTACCTCAGCTGCACGCAGCACTTACATCCGCGAGGCTTTGGGCAACCCAAGTCTCATTGGCAAGGCGCACGGCTCTGCCGGCTCTGCCTTGTGTTCATCGTGGCTCTGCCTTGTGTGCATCGGTGGTATTTTCTTGGTTTTCGCGGTACTTGATGCGGCGTGAGGTGCGAGACATGAAAGAGCTCTACACCAAGCAAGTCCGCAGCGAAGCCAGAAAGTTGCGAATCCCTTCTGCACCCACCGCAGCCGGATCCTGCGAAAAGACTTTGAGGACGGAGTTTTTGTTACGGGTGTTTTGGGTGTTTTGGGTGTTGTGGGCTGATGCCGCACTGACATCCGATCTTATGAGGGGAGCAGTTTAGGGATGTCCTGCTAATGTTCATCGCCAGGATTCTCCAGTGGAATCTGAATTGCTTGTGCGGTATCAATGGAGAGACTCCACAACGTGCTTCAGACATTGTCAAGCTGCTGGCTCCATGCAATGCAGATGTCCTTGTGCTGCAGGAGGTCAGCGGGTTGTTGTCAGCCCCGAAAGTTTGCTGAATTTGTTTACTCATTCTCGTGCCCTTGGATGCCTCCTGGTTATGTTGTTTGTGCCATTTTGCGCTCCTGTGCAAGTCTAGGGAGCGCCCTTCAAGAGAGAGAGCGCAACGAGCGCCACCACGTCAGATGCCGCGGGGCCCAGCCCAAAGTTGGTGGTGGGAGCCCTGGCGCTCCACCTTCCCAGCTAAAGAAATGCGAGCTTTGGAAACGTCTCTGCACGAACTCGGGCCCGCTGGCAGCATTTCACCGTATTTCAGTAACGGCCATTTTGTGTTTCTTTCTGTTGAAGCCTGTATGGAATGGCTACAGTGCTTAAGTGCCCAAGGCATGCTACTGTAGGGTCCACTCGAAATCCAGCAGCTATGGTAAACGCGAATTGAAAGGACATCGGGATTACAGCTTCAAAATGCGTTGCTGAGGTATCAGACTCAGGTGAGAAGCAGCTGCTTCAGTTCTACATTGCTGTGCACGAAGATAAAGCCTGTGGCCGTGTCAGAGGTCAGCTTGGATTCTGAGTGCCTGTGCTCCGAATTTGGCCCTGCACTACTCATTCAGAGTGCACTTTTTTCGTGCCCGCGCTCCCTGCCCGCGGGAGGACCCCAAGAAATCTCACACCATCGCATTCAGAATCGCCCCTCCAAGTCGCCCAGGCACAGCTTCCGAATGGCCGAGGACCGATCCGCGCTGCTCGCTTCCTTCTGCCTCGAAGACTCCAAAGAGGCCGAGGAAAAGGGAAGGAGAAGGGAGGGAGACGAAATATGAGACGCGAAATGAGACCGGGGGGATCTTGCGGAGGTGATCTCGATTTGCGCCACCCACCTCCACCACCAGGACTTCAGAGTTGCTGTTCTGAGCTGTTCTTGTGTGCGAACCTCTGCGGAGTGCACCGCTAGTGCACCGCCTGTGCCCCCAGCTTTGGTCAGAACTTCACGGAGAGTGACGATGGTGTGCGAAGAGCAGAGACTGAGCTTCTGCTGCGGCACTGCGCAGAACATGCAGCAAAGACTCCCAGCCGCTGTGCGCTGATTGTGGCTGACTTCAACCAGGTGTCTCGCAAACAGCTTTTGTGATGCATTCTTGCGCCAAACAGAGAGAGAGAGAGAGAAGTGAAGAAGGTTGAAGGTGAAGAAGTGTATTTGCCATGTCCCCAGACAAAAACTAAAGGCGCGGCCTGGGGACTACAGCGCCGCGGAGTGGTCCGTAATTTCTGCGGGCCTAAAATCCGTCGGAGAGCCAGAGGATGACGGCGTAGCAAGACTCCTCACTTCACAAAACTGGGTCTGCGCCTTGCAGTCGAACTGGGAAGATCTGCGAAAGCGGTTTTCTTCAAGGGCAGAGCCGTGTCACATGTCTTTTTTCTGAAGGGCCCCCTTGAATTACGAAGCAACTTGCTACGCCTGGCCAAGGTACATATGATGTTGCTTCGAGGCGGAACTGGAGTGGCACCGCGCCACCTTTTACTCACTGGACCGGCACGACCGTGGACTACGCATACATGTTGGCTCCGGAGACAGTGGAAGTGGGTACGTATGTGTTGTACAGCGATGTCTCTGACCATTTGCCAATACTGACGCATCTACAACTTCACTGATGCGCTTGGAAGCTCGGATGGCTCCGGCAGCGACAGGCTGGTGAAGCGAGCAGGCATGAGCAGGCGCGAGCAGGCGTGCAACGGGAAGGTGGCAGCTAACTCATGGGACAGATCTGCCGCCACATTGTTGCCACGTATTCAGGAAGGCAGCCGATACCTCATGATAGCACACAGCGATGACAAAAGTTTGCACGTCGCAAAGCACGGAGCGAGAAGATCTATGACATGTGCGAAGCATGACATGACATTGCTGCCATTGCTGCAGCTGCTCCGGCGGGACTCGGGGCATAGCTGAAAGCTACCAGAGAAGCGGCGCAGTTGATCACTTACGCGAGGGTCAAGAGAACCTGGACAAGCGAAATGGCAAAAATCACGCTTTGGTTATGACTCGAGGGCACTGTACTCCTTGCCAAGAAAGGCTGGCTGAGCTTTCCACCTGCACAGCAAAACAGGCATGTGATGGCATGTGAAAGCTGCAGAGCGGTTGTGTGAGGTAGACACATAATTGTGAAATTCAGTTGCCTCGGCTCAAAGCGAGACGAGAGTGTTTCTGGCCGATTGCTCTGCTTGTTGCAACCGACTTCTCAGCATGGGGTGTACTGAGCGTAGTGAAACAGTCAACGCTTGTACTCTGTCGCCACCGATCAAAGCCAATGGCGACCCTCCAAAGCCTCGGACGTGCCAGGCCAAAGACGCAAGTCAAAGAACAGAGAAATATAGCTGACATTTAGATGACTGGTACTGGAGCACGCGCACTGCCTCACACCTGTGAAGGACTTGGGCCAGGTTGGCTCCATCTTGGCGGACCTTTGCAGTCAGTGCTGAAGGCCTCGCAGACAGCCTGTGCAACATTGTGTAGCTTGAGAAGAGACGAAAGACCGGCGAAGTTGCAGAAGTTATGTGCAGGCAGAAAAGCTGTCGAGATGCTTCGCCCGGTGGCACGCTTGAAAGAGGCAACTTCCAGCTGCAGAGTTCGTTGTGTGATACTGTGCTAAGAACGGATAACAGAGAGAGAGAGAGAGCACTGTAGAGCAGTCCAGGATTTGCCACGTCACCTGGCAATCGACATGGGCCATCCTTGGATCTACGATGATGAAGTGAACAACATCGCTGACTTGAACGGGATCGATGCTGGCACATTGGCACCACCCTCAAAGCATCTCAAAGCCAACGCTGCACCGTGGCAGTCCTCAGTTGGCAACTTACAGCAGTACTAGGGCTTTCGAGGTGGACATCCTGCGCTCGGACGGCGAAGCGGTAGGGGTCGGAGTGCTCAACAGGCCTGAGTTAGAGCAGTGGTTGGAGAGCAGTGTGTTCCGTGATGTTCCGTGCCTCGTGGCTGGATTCACGACACAGGCAGGCCTCGATTGTGCTGCGTCGGATGGACGATCTGTCTCCGGGCACGGAGGTGACTCAGGAGAGTCAGCTTGCAAGAAGTGCGATGCGAGGTGGCAGCGTAGAGCTCGCCACCAGGACATTCTTCAAGTACGTCTCCGGAGAGCCTTCGCAGCGCGCGAGGCACGGCTTGGAGGCTCGAAACACGATGCAGTGGCACGCTTTATAAGTCTTTTTCACTTGCCGACTGCATCCGACTGCATGTCGGGTTTTTGGAGAAATTCCTCTCCTCATTTCAGTTCTATGAGGTGGCTCGGCCTTCTGCCGTGCCGTGCATGGCGAACAGGACGGACTTCCAGGCTGAATACGTTCCCAAAGATTTCCCACAAACGATGCTCCCCAAAGCCATGCATGACCATATCCACCATGCTGGTCACCTTTCGATGTTAGCTTAACAGGCTCCTTAAAATAAAGTATGCACTTGCGCCTCGTCCGGAGGTGTCATTGTCGACCGTTTTGGCAAGTCAGCCGTCGTGATCTTTGAATCAGTCGGATCGGCAAAGTTGGAGCTGGTAGTACAAGAAGAGCTCACACGCTGGATGGGAAAGCTTCAACAGATGATCTCCAGCTAACATTACGATCACTTTCATGCCAGCCTTTGATGAAGGGGGGGGGGGCTGTCGGAAGGGCCGCGAGACTGAGGACAGTACACCGAATGACTGCAAAAAAAGAGAAATGGGCACAAGAGGGCTCGGAGTTCACCACAAGCATTACGCGGGGAGATAGTTCACGAGCTCTCTCCTCAGCCTGTGTTTGCCTTTTCAAGCTGTGCCGTTTGAGAAAAGCACATCGAATGCATTCGAATTGCCAGAAGTCTCTGAGGTCCGGGTAGAGGAGGGCACTGGCAGCAGCTTTGTTCGTTTCGACGTTGACGTTCTGCAGGGTATTCTCATGGGCCACTGGAACTACGGACTGGAAAAGATGCGGAGAGAATTGACAGCGTCCTTTGGGAAAGGTAGCCTGGCTGGAGTGTAGCAAGCCTTTCCACACGTTTTGAACCGAAGGGCTTAGATTACTGAGGAAACATCAGCGCTGAATCGGCACCAGAGTCAAACTGCCCGATTGTATCGACTGACGTACGGGCGATACCAAGAAACACCACATGGGACAGAACCACGAGTAATGCTGTGACGGGAACCTTCGCGTTGCGACAGGAACTTTGCGTCAGGAACCAGGCTCGCGCCAGCCACGGAAACCACATGCGCCTGCAGTGGGGACCATTTAGACCTGCAACGGGAACCACGGAGATTTCTCACAGAAACTTGTGGCTCCCACATTCGGGGTAGTCAGCACTATGGACGCAGAGTGCCGCAGCGACCCCCGTCGTGACCGGTAGTGACCATGTAGCGCACTGACTTGCAGTGGCCAGGAGACGGCCCGAGGCGCCTACGTCAGGGTGCCCCCAGGTCCAACCGAAAGGCCCCATAGGGGCGCTTAACTTAGGCGCCACTTTGGGGCATGTGTTGTCAAAACATATCACGAGCATGCAGTGAAGTATGGTGCATATGTTGTTCTCCAAGTAGGCGTTTTGGCGCTATGATGCGCTATGCTATTCCACAGACACGGCCATCGTGCACTTTGCACACTTCAGTCACTCGACGGGTCCACTCTCGTCATTTGCAACCGTGCGCCCCCCACATCCATTCCCCAGAGAATCCGTTTCCGGACCCTGATAACATCCGCGCTAACCTCCGCGATCACTCATTGCCCCAGGCATCCGTGTTCGGACCCTGACGCCTGAAAACATCCGTGTACCCGTACGTCCATGGCAGGAACTTCCTCGAGCGTTGCTTAAATTAGGTCCATGGGACCAGTGCATTCTTAGTCCCATTGCACGCATGCCCGAACGATGATTGCGTCCGTGGGAGCCGCATCCGTTCCACACAGCAGGACTGTTAAGTTTGGACTGGCATTTACCACCTGAATGCAGCATTCATTCATGATAGCTGGTGATTCTACATTTCATGACATGCAACTGCAACAATTTAGTTGTGCGAAGTTGAGTGAGCAATGCAAGCAAAAGCACGTCACATGCGAAGTTGGCATCGTAGCTGTATCATCTGAGGTACTGTGTTGGATGCCTGGGCACAAGCAGGGCAGTGGGGCATCAGATGTGCCAAGGCTGGTGCGGAAGAGGTGGTGCTTCTAGAAGACACCCTCGGACTTGCCAAGCTTTGCCGAGAAAACGCAATCCTGAACGGCAGCTTGGCGGCCGTAGCATGTGCAGACGTGATCCAGGTCAGCGTTTGCATGCAATTCAGGTGTGGAAGAGCAGTGCACTGTCCTTCACCGTGGAGACGTGGCTGGAGAACTTCGGAATATGGTCACTGAAGTTGCACACATCATCTTTCACACTCCAGGTGCATGCAGCAAACTCTTTAAAGAATCTCATGGGTCTCCCCTGTTAAGGCAACAAGTGGCATACGTTTCAACTGCGTCTCTCTCAATATCCGAGTACGCTTGCAGCTCAGCATGTCGAGCACTGTTCCGCGTTCTTTTGAAATGTGCGCCCAACGTACGCTTCGAAGAGTTGTGAGTCACGTGTTCTTGACTGTGAGGTTTCGAGCGCTACTTCAAGCACCAAAAGGGCCAGTTTGGCAAGTGGTACAAGCCAAGCCTAAAAGGATATGAGAGGGCCATTGCTTTGGGAGCATCTCGGACTTGGATCAGAGAGGGCAACTGCGAGCTTCTCTACAAAAGCTGAGTTTGGGCCAAGGCCATGGTGACTTCGCGAAGCGGATATTTAGTTGTGACGTTCCTTTTGCCGCTGACGACCGAGTACTGGGCGCTTTACCTGGTGCAAGGAAGGGCCGCTGAAGCCAAGCTTTGAAGGGCGTTGCACTGGTTGCTTCGCACTCTTTAGGACTTTTTCGGGGCTTCTCCAATTTTGCAGGAGCCTTGGAAAGAGCATCTCGAATTGGAAGCATTGTTTACTACTCCACGGACATCAACGAGCGCCTCAGTTCTGCAAACAAGCCAGAGTGGTGCCATGAAAGGAACCTGACTCGATTCCTCATTCCATTTATCCCTGAGCCACTGAGTCACTGAGGGACTCTGCCATGCCCTCTTCAACCATGGATGAGTTCTGGAGCCACGTGCTGATCTGCGTGAAGATGTCGTAAAAACAGGAGAGGAGGGGACTCTTCTACTCTGAGCTGTGCTAAACCTACATTGCTTCAGCCATTAGGGCTTTGAAAACTGGACAAGAATTTTTGAAGTATCTGTTGTATGGGATGCGTCAGGCTTAGGATAGCAATACGCTCCTCTCACTGCGAGACTTACAGTAGGAGGACTGTTGTCACGACTTTACATGCAATGAAGCTAGCAATAATAGTCATGCTGGGAGCTCCTAATCAGGAAGAGCGCTGCTAGTTACAGTACATGACTTGTGCAACATATGTAAGTCAATAGCTTGTCAACGCCATGCTGGCTTCGGCCGCCCGGCGGCTCACTCGGCTGGGATCCCAGAAAGTGGCTTTGCGACGCTTCGTACCATTCCCGCCATAGGAGCCAGCCGAAGAACTGTCTGGGGCGGCGCGTGCGATACAGTGCGAAACTTATGGCTCGTCTACACGGTCTCTGTGGCAGACTCTCATGGTACTGGGATGAATTGCTGATTGCCTGATGATGCTTGATGCAGGCAGCAAACAAGATCCCGCCTGGTGGAACGAGGATGACGGGCTTGAACGGGCGTTTCAGCGTTGAACGTTCATTGTATGCAGGTCGCACAACCAGAGATCTTCGCATTACGACAGGAGTTGGATCGACGCCGATCAGCTCCCGGGACTTTGCAACGGCAAGCCTTGAAGCAGGCAAGGCCTGTGCATGAAAAATAGCATCAGCTCAGTGTCGCTACGGCCCTACTACCACATGAAGGGGCTTTCCAAACGTTAGAGGCGATGGGCTATCATGACAAGATCATGTGTCAATGGACTGGAGGAGACCCGGAACTCAAGGGACGATCTGGAGCCTGGAGGTCCTCGACAAACCGTCGAGCGCCAGGCGGCGGCCACATGTCATCCGAAGTCCAAGAGCCTGCAACACTAAAGGTTCAGAACCTCTGGATGAACCCCTATGTGGTTTCGACACCATAGACTCTAAACTCTCAGCTGAAACCTCAAACTCTTAACCCAGGAAAGTCTTAACTCGAACCCTAGCCCCAAACCAGACCCTGACATTTGAACCCTTGACTTGCCCGCCACATCCTGCACCCCCATGATGCCCTGAAGCAGCTTACACTTTAGGCTCCATGTAGGGTTCATCTCGCTTTTGGACGGACTGTTGACGCTTTGTGTGGATACCCGGCCAGACTCAGGCAAGCTTCTCAAATTCCAGACCTTGTCAAAGCCTTCCATACCGTGCCTCTTAGCAGTACTTCTAGTGCTGGACCTATCTGGGCTACGTGATCGAACCCATGCCGTGCCGCGATCTCGGCCGCGGCCCGGCAGCGATGTGTTGTAGCCCGTCGTGCTCGGAAATGTACCTCCGCAACTCGACTGTCATTCGACGTGGCACCGTTCCAAAAGACCAGTGCAGTGTGATGAATAAGGGGCCGGGTCATCTTGCTGCATGTTCTGCTGATGGTGTCTTAAGAAAAGATACATGACACCGTGCAGGACCTCCAGCAGAGCGCGTCGGACATGCAACTCTTTGCTTACGCTGAGAGCCGGCGCCCTCCTTGGAGATCGGGAGGGGCTTTGGCAAGCGAACACGTCTTTGCAAACACACATACTTCGTAATCTGACAGTAGGAAGGGGCTCCCGAGTCTTGAAGCCCTGTCACCAGCATCACAGCCCATACCAACCCCATGCGTTTCCCGGGCCAATCAAAAAACTCCTTCTGTGCAGCACACGCCAAAGGCGAATCCATACAACCCCAAGCTGCAATCCTGAAATCCTGGACGGATGGAATAAGTCGACAAGTGCTTCAGGAGTGTTTCTAAATAACATGTCTCCGCGTAGTCATTCTTTGCGCTGAAGCGCTTCCCCCCATTCCACTTGCGACATTGTCAGCCAGACTGAGGCGGCTTCCCTGGGCCATGTTGCTGCTCCTGTTGCTCTCTGGAGGGGCGACTTTTGCTGTGACCGCTTTGTGGGCGAAGGCAGGGGAAAGTGCCCAGACAAGTCATCCTCTCTGCACTCCGCGTTGTCAAGCCCTAGGGCCCTTAATGGCCCTTAAGCTTTTCGGCAAACTGACCGACTGCGCGGTGTTTGTTTAGTGCACAACCCATGCCTCCACACCAAAAGGCAAAGCAGTGGCAAAGCGTTCCCGGGCAGGTCAGCCAAGCTCAATCTCTGGAAGAGCTCCAAGAGCAGCTTCGGAACTTCTGCTGGGTGATTTCGAGATGCTCTGTCACCTTGCCACAACTGCAAGCCACCTACTCAGAGCATTGAGCGTGCAGAAGAGGCTCGCTAGCAGCACAAGCCGGAGTCGGAGTGTATTTGCACTTTCGGGTACATGTTGAGAAATCGAAGCCTTTGGCCGCTCAACACTCAAAGCCGCTCATTTGACTACGGTAGTGCAACGCCTGGTGTTGAAAGAGGTCAGGGAAAAGTTCGTGGTGCTGTTCAAAAATCATTCGGCAAGTTGTAAGAATCTTGGGTCATCAACGTACCAAGACTTGTGCTCAGCACCAAACCAGCCCAGGGAAAACCCTGGGCCTCAAGAACGCCAGCCGGCTGCCCCAAAATTGAGACAACCCAACCCTACCCCGAAACCCACACCACCAACCCCGAACAGAAGCCCGACAAGCAGCACCGAAATCGGCAAGTCTTGTGCTTCTTACTTGGCAGTTACGTAAGTATTCGACATTCGAGGCACCCGAAAAACGCGGACCATATCTTGACCAAGTGCAAATTTCAGCCTTTCGCTGCAGCAAGTCAGCTAGCCCACTTTTGAGAGTCCCCAGATGCTGAAGCTTGTCAGATCTAGTCAGTCGGCCAACTTTTCACTTCACTAGGCAAAGCTCAGAATTCTACGGCAGAATGACACGGGAGAACCGCATTTTTTCCTCACCCTATCCTTGATGTGCGTGTCGTTAGTGTTTTCTTCCACTTTGTTTTTCCCTGCTAAGGCTGGTGAAATTGGTCGCCTCTTCACAGCATCACTCCTTCGAGCTGGTGAGCAGCCTGCAAGGCTGGTGGCAGACACGGTCCTCTTCGTTTGCTGCGGGACGCTGCCACGCAGCTGCATTGCTTACCAGCATGTGTACGTAAGCGGTCCGAGCGGTTCGCCAGAAAACGACACCGGAAAGCAGCTGACCCGTACACCTGAAACTTTGAAGCAAAAGTGAGCTTGGGAGACGTACAGGCCTGATGGAGCCCCTCCGGGATCCTGTCGGCCTGGTTTGCCTTGTCTTCATTTAGCAGTAAAGGCTTGCATTCGTGCCCTTGTTGTTTATGCTCGTGTGCTTGTTGCCTAGTGAAGCTTCGGGCCCCCCGCATCTTCCACACCAAAGCCACTTTTCCCGCTGCTGTTGTCGCCCACTGGTGCCTCATAGCTCCCATAGGGATGGCGGGATTGCTGCTGAAACGATTTGAAAGTGCGTCGAGTTGCGTCCGTCAGAAACATCCATAAGGTTAGAAAGGCTCTATGGCTCTGCAGTCCTGCTGCAACTGGTCGTTGGGTCAACCCTGTTCTGCAATGCCGGCTGCTGAGCATTGGTGAAAGTTTCATGGCCTTGCAGCTTCATGAGCCGCATAAGTGACGTGCAGCGTAAATGCGTCCAAAGTGGCAGCAAAGTCGTCACTGCTGCGATCTCTGCATGTGGGGTGTCAGGTCTCCGCCCTTTGCTTGCACCAGCGCTTGGTGGGTCCCGGTGGTGATCCTGTAGGACGCATGTTAGTTTGCAAAGACGCAGATGTACCCAAACCTAGATGTGTTGGCGCATGCGAAGGATCTATCTCCTCCAGCTCTGCAGCAGTTGTGACACTCGGAACCTTTTGTGCCTTACGGCATGGCCGTTGGGCTGCGTGGCGAGGTGATCTCCCGAGTCATGCATCCTTCAGCTAGTAAGAAGCTCTTACAATTTACAACGTCCGCCTACAGCACCGGCCAGGTGTTCCAGTTCCTGTCTCTTGGTTGATGGCACCCGTTCTGGTGCTGCCCTCAGGTACCGTTTTGGGTTTCAGTTCATGGCAGCGGTCTAGATATTCGATGTTATGAGTCTCAATGCACGAGTTTGCTGTCCTTCGGCCTAGCAAGGCTTTTCCTCGTCACAGAACCGAAAGGCTTCAGGGAGTCACCCTCGCTCCAAGCTTTGCACGGCATTTCCCAATCCCATGCATGGCATGGTCCTGCTTTTCCTGCCCAATGACAGTTGTTTGTGAGCATGTCAATGTGACTTCCCTTCTGATTAAAAGTTCTCACGTCGACATGGACAACACGTGGCACATAAATGAGAAGTTTCGATGCTCAAACACCCCCCCTTAGTTTCGCCAGTTGTGGCTTTCCTGATCCCTCAGATGGTTCAGCCCATCCAGCTTCTCCGTACTGCAAATGCACCCTCGCAACGGATGTGGCTTCAGGAAATCGGCGACGATGAACGAAGGCAACCTCAGGTGAAACAGATCCTACTTCAGTAGCATTCTCAAAGGCAGAAACCTCTATTGGCCCAACCTTGCGTATTCCGACTTTCAGTTGAGAGCTGTCATGCTCTCGTCGCATGTCGTCTTTGACATGCCCAAAGCTGCAGAGTTGAGCCCGGCATCCGGACGATACTTGTTGCTTCCAGCCATGTGCTCTTGACATGTTTTGACCACATGCAGCACGTCTCAATCCGAGAACGAAAAGTTGATAGTACAGTCATGAGCTGTAACACAGTCTTTGCCCAGGTTGGTGACCTCTCGCTGGCATGGGGCTACCTTCATGACTTAATCGATTGCCGGCATCGGCATCAAAGGCCTCGGCACTTTCGAAGCTTTGTTTCGGCTTTGTCCTGTTGCTACCAGGGTGCGGCACACTGCTTGGATTCTGGATCAAGATCAGCAACAGAACGTCGTGTAGTTTCCTCGATGACAGAAAAGATTTGCCAGACGCATGTCAAGCCGATCATCGGTCAGAACTTAGGATGCACCCGAACGATCTTCTACAGCTGATTGCGCTCTGCAGAGCTGTGAAGATTTACGCCAAAAGGGGGCAGGGGGGGTTGTTGTGGGCATTTCCTGCCAAACCCTGAACCAGACGGCCCTGACACTGGCCAAGCAAGGGAACTCCCGAACCCTAAACATGTGGCCTGAGCAGACCCCGGAATCCTACTGGGCACGAACCTAGGCCCCCAAGCTCATGAAGAGGAACCTTGTAAACCCTTACACCCTTAACCCTGAAAGAAGATGTTGACAGGGCAGACAGAGAAGATCTGGGTGATGAAGCCGAAGGCCTACAGCAAGATGTCGGCTGAGCAACCCGAAATGCTGGAAGGAAAAGGGCAGCGGACACTCTAACCATCAAGGAACCCTCCTAGATAAAGATGGTGAGTGAACAACTTTACTTCCTGATCAAAGACGTCGACCAAGAAACTATGAGCACTAAATCAACAAACCAGGAGCACTAAATCCGAATAATTCCTACAACAAGCGAGGCAACCCGGAAGCTTTAATGGCCGAACCCAACCGATCCCACCATGGCCAGCCTCCCAGCCCCTGTGAAGCTCAAGCATGAGGAGTCGAAGCCAGGATCAGAAGAGTGACGTTTCAGGGTCTTGATGTCTCTGGACCATGCTTCTTCCTTGTTCCAGGCATGTGCACTTCCTGTAAGTCATTCCTCGCATGTTTCCCGCAGTGTGGAGCCGGTCCTCGAGTCCACCGAGTCTGTCTCAATTCAGGCAGTGCAACAATTCGCATCACTCGCTGACAACTTGAGTAACTTGAAGTAGCGTGAATGCCATGCGTTCACACTGCACAGCCGCCCCAGCCAGGTTGGTCACGACTCAGGCCGAGGGGGAAATTTTCGCTTGAGTTGACCTCGGTTAAACTTGGTGCCTGCTCGTCGCAGGAATCCAGCGATCCATTGCCCTAGCTGCTTGTTTCGCTGTGGAGGCGAAGTCACGAGTGCCCTCGAGCAAAACGTAGCGAGAAAGAGGTTGAGTATTCCTGGCAGGATGCTGCTCGCAGTCGCTTCCAGCCTCCCGCCCAAGACATCGTGTCTTGGCGCGTCGACCTGGAGAACACCGTGGAAGAGGAGCTGAACTTGATTATAAAGGTTTCAGCAGTGTGGTTTGAAGTGCAGGAGCATCCACCACCTCCAGAGGCAAGAATCCGAAGCTTCGAAGCCGAGAGATGGGGTGGTGTACGTTAAATCCGTTCAATTATGGTTGAACCCTTTTGTTTATGTCCGTTCCAGGGTGCCGTGTTGGCAGATGCCGTTGGTGCTTGTCTCGGCGCTGGTGCTGGTCTCAGCAGAAAAGGATACGGTGCTGTACTCGGATCACAGCAAAGCTGGTCTGAGGATTGGCAGTTGTCTTGGCGAGAGCTTCCAGGAGATAGATTGAAAAAGCGAAAAGCATCAGAGCCACCATCGTGGCTAGTAGCAGTTCCGTTCAGCTACCATTGGTGCAATATTCTTCGGCTCACAGAGTCTCTTAGCTCATCTTGGAGCAAGGGATGAAGCAATGACAACGGATGATATCTACTGGTTCGGGGCCTCGAAGTGATATTGTGTGTACTGCAACGGAGATGAGCAAATCAAAACATCACCCAACGTAGAGATCTAGTCTACGATCAAATCTGAGATTTGGAAAGGACGGCGTATCGTGCAATCAGTGTATTTGCTGAGCTTATGGTCAAGGTAGTTTAAACGCTGCGCATCGCCTCCCTCAGGCCGGCCTGTGCAGAGGCTTTCAGATGTAATCTAGATCTTAATTTGGCTCTAAGAATGTCTATCATTCTCTCCAAAGAAAATGACTCTCCCTGGCTTATCACAAAGAGAAACATTTAGAGCTTATTCGCTTTTATAGACTACTCTTGTATATGGCATGATTGGGTTAGATTGTATTTGGTGTTACGACAATTTTACTGGCTGATCATTCTTAATTCGGGGTGGGGAGAATGTTCGTTCTTGTAATTTGGAAATTCTTTTTTTTTCTTCTGTGTGTGTGCGGAGGACGGGGGCGTAAAAGAAATGGTTTTAATTATCTCATTATTTCTCTCTATTCTTGCTTCTCTTGCTAAATTAACGGATCTAATTCTATAG